AGTAAGGCACTTGTTACTAGAAGCGTGGCACTTGTTACTACTAGCTTCTTGTTACTACTAGTAAGGCACTTGTTACTAGTAGCGTGGCACTTGTTCCTAGTAGCTTCTTGTTACTACTACTAAGGCACTTGTTACTAGAAGCGTTGCACTTGTTACTACTAGCTTCTTGTTACTATGCAGTTTGAGGACCAATGGCCTTGAGCCAAAGTAGAGAAGGCTGAGCCATGGATGGATTCTATTGAGATGGGAATGGTCGGAATGGACTTATATAATTGATGCAAGACAAATGAATGGATGAGATGGGGGATGTGTCAATGGTGCATTGAAAAGGCCAAGACTGAACTAAGGCTGGGTGCATTACAGGACTTGCAACACCACATTCCGTGAACATCCACTCCAGTCCAGAGAACTCAAGGGAACCCACGAGAAAACCTGGTTCGCCCTGGTGACCAAGTGTTGGTGTTGAGAATGTTCACGGTGCTTGGAAGTGGTTCCAAACCCGTTTCATTGGGGCTCCCAGCAGGGAACTTTCTGCCACGGATGCGGAAGGTGGAGCCCACTGGAGAGTGGCAGAAGATCAAATGCAGATTCGAACCTCATCCAAACTGCGTCCTTGCTCCTAGTAGCGATGCCCTTTGTTCCTAGTAGCTTCTTGCTCCTAGTAGTAAGGCCAGGAGCCCCTAGTAGCGTCCTTGCTCCTTGCATCTCAAAATACACCTCAAGGTCGAAGATCCACCAAAAAGAAACTGAGATGAAGGCGCACTTTGTCCAGGAAGAATTGGAAGAGTGACCTAAAGGGTGGAGGCCATCAGTCTTAGGTTTGAGACCATCGCTACTAGGAACAAAAACGGAAGAAAGGTCTAATAGTAGCGTCCTTGTTACTGGTAGTATGGCCAGGAGCCCCTAGTAGCGTCCTTGCTCCTAGTAGCGATGCCCTTTGCTCCTAGTAGCGTTCTTGCTCCTAAGAAAGGTCTAATATAGTTTGCTACTAGGTTGGAGGCCATTGCTAGTGTGACGGCAGTGGCTGCGACGGGACAGGCATTGCCAAGTGGCTCTCGATCATCCGCGTAGTTGGCAAACTTGGCTGCATTCCGAATGCTGCTGAAAATGTTGTCGTACTCCTTGCTGAATATGAGGAAATGAAGGGAATCAGGGAATGCATGCCGTGTATATAGAGGTAAAAAAGAAAGTCTGCTGTCTGGCACGAGACAATGTAGTTCTGTTTGTTCTTCACAAGTGCATCGCTACTAGTAACAGGTGCCTTACTAGTAGTAACAATGTCGCACCTCTCGTGCAAAGAGGTCTGGGATGTTCCCGCTTGAGAGCATATCCTAAGCGCCACAAGAAAGAAGTTCAAACATGTCTCTTCTTGTGTCTTGCCTACGAAAGTCAAGGAGGGTGGAAAAAGAAAAATGACTTTCTCCTGTGAAGGCACATTAATGGAAACCAGGAACCGCTCGTCTGTGATCTGACTATCGGTCAGGAGGAAGGCCTGGAGTCAAATGTCTGTCACTCTCAAATCTCAATTGAAGTGCCACGTTAGTAGTAACAAGTGCCACGCTAGTAGTAACAAGTGCCACGCTAGTAGTAACAAGAAGCTATTAGGCTCAAATGTCTTTTCTCAAAATCTTCGCCTGAGGCGTTGCTGGCTTCACAGCTGCTTTCTTGTAGAACTCCTGAATTGTCTCTCGATGTGAGAGTCGACATGCAACAGGGTTATCAGTTGTCGTTCGCAAATTCCCAAAAAAAGAGTTTTGGCAGATGTCACTTGGGCTGCTCCTGCAAGTCGCATTTTAACTCGTTCAGGCCATATTGTTGATTCACCAAAATCGTCTGCACCTCCTGATATGTTCGCAATGCTGTTCGGTCATGAAACAAGTTGGGCTAGTGTAGCATAAACATATACTGCGGTAGCAGCGGTAGCATGCACGTGGCATGTGCATCTCCTGGCCGTTGATGAAGCTTGAGAGCCGTGCCAAAGACTGTTTCCCAGAGCCGCCAACGCCCACCAGCAAAGCACTTCCACATGGGTTCTGCGTGATTCGACAAATACCTCACTTTCAAAGTGCAATGGACGTAAAGCAAAAACAAAACAGAAGCGGAAAAAAGACAACGTAAACTGCAAACCGCTAAAACGTGGAAATTAAGGAACGGCAAACATGAAAGACTGCGTCATCGAAAAGAACCAAGTTCATCGTGGCATGCTCGTTGTTGTACGCCGCCAGGCGGGCCTAACATGAGTTTTGGCGTCAAGAACAAATGCCTAGGAGCAAAGGGCATCTACTAGGAGCAAGGACGCTACTAGGGGCTCCTGGCCATATAGCCAGTAACAAGGACGCTACTAGGAACAAATGCCTTCACATCAATGCTTGCCACCTGGATGTGGAAGCTTGCCACTAACAAAAGAATAAAAGGGTCTTAGTAGGAAACTGCAGAAAAAGCACTATAGCGATGGCCTCCAAACAATAGCGATGGCCTCTACCTAATAGCGACGGCCTCCAACCTAATAGCGAAGGCATTTGGGTGCACCCTACGGGTTCATACAGGATTTGTTGCACTTTCCACACCTTTTGTGCACTCTACTTCCGTTTCCGAATTGGGTATGAATTGGGTGTAAAAAGTACGCTACTAGGAGCACAGGGCATCGCTACTAGGAGCAAGGAAGCTACTAGGGGCTCCTGGCCGTACTACTAGGAACAAGAAGCTAGTAGAAACAATAAGAAGCTATAGAATTTAATTAGAATTTGTATTTTGTGTTAAACTCGGTTTCATTGGGTGTGCATTGCGTGACTTCGCCCGCTTCGCCTCCACGACGTCTCGGATCTGTTGCATATCCCGAGCAGGCAGGTAATGCCGATCTGGACCAGAAGCCTGCGCAGAACGTCAACAGCAAAGGGCATCGCTACTAGGAACAAGTGCATCGCTAGTAGTAACAAGTGCCTTACTAGTAGTAACAAGAAAGCTATTAGGAACAATAAGCTACTAGGAACAAGTGCCTTACTAGTAGTAACAAGGAAGCTATTAGAAACAAGTGCATCGCTACTAGGAGCAAGGACGCTACTAGGGGCTCCTGGCATCGCTACTAGGAGCGAAGAGAATCTTTTGCTTTAACATAGCTCACCATAACTCTTGGGAAGTTGCTTCTCAGTCGCCGCGTTGAACCGCGTTGAGATTGGAAATGATTGGAACGTTTAATGCTAGAGGCTCAAACAACCAGCCCTGGAACAGCCAGTTTCAATCGAACTTCAATTGTGGTGAGAACCAGTTCTTATCAGTTCTTGCTGGTTTGGGATTCCAGGTTTGCCTTCTCCAGTGTGCGCTTGTCATCTTCCTGTCCTTTCACGAGGAAAATGCTCCCTTGAAACGCTCCTTACTTAGTCCTTTCACTTGCTTTCACTCGCATCGCTTTCGCATCGCTTTCGCACCGCTTTCGCACCGCGAGTGAACCTCGGAGATGAAGGAGGTGCAGCACAAAGGCAGCGCAAAGAGCTCCTCCCGGTTGGATGCTGCGCCCACACCCACAAAGCTCCTGGACACCGCCTCACCAATCGCCGATGCTGCGCCATGTGCCAATGCGATTGTATTGTGTCGTGCTATTCGCGGCCTTCAAAAGAATACCTTCAGGTGTGTTCAAATGCCTTCAGACTTGCAATGCCAGCTTGGCTTAGTTGAAGCCTTGCTTGTTCTTGGCTTCGAGCCTTCTCAATCATGCTCTGGAGCTCCTTCACAAAACAACCAAGCCACAATCTTGAGTTTAAGCAATTGCAAGCGTGCCGGAAGCATACAAATGCAAGAAAAATAAGTTTAGAAACAAGGATGTCTTTCACGCGTAACAGCGCTTCCCTGCACCCTTTGCTCCATACTTCGCTCCTCATTCCCCCTCTTCTCTAAATTGCAAGAAACGAAAACAGCGCCATGTGGAGAGAGAGTGCTAAGTAACTCTGTTTTTGCTTGCCTTCCTCTTGTTTGTCTAAAACGGTTTTTGCAACGCTCATGCTCGTTATGTTCGTGCAGCGGTGCAGCTGTTGTGTTCCCTCAGTCCTTGGCGTCTGATTCGAGCACCAGGCGGTCGGAGAAGACCCTGTAGCACTCGTGCAGCCAAACCTGCAGATCTTGCACAAAAGGCGTCGTTTGATTCATGTGAGAGTCATATATGAGTACTATTAGTGACTACGTAGTGCCACACTATGAGTGTCATATCACGATGGTTTTTGCTCTTTTCCGTTCCAGCCGAAAGTGTCTGATCTGTGCATGAAAATCCACGGTCGCTTCAAATCGTTTCTTGCTGCCGAGTATTGCCGAGTGGCTCGCAGGAAGCGGCTGGGTCCTGCCGAATCTCTGAAGACGGAGCCATTGGTGCTTAGGAGCCCTTGGAATAAATTCGAGATATCCTGACGAAAAGAACAGCAGTAACAAGTGCCACGCTAGTAGTAACAGGTGCCTTACTAGTAGTAACAAGAAGCTACTAACAAAACAAAAGCTCTCGGAGATTGAAGTCCATGTCTTCTCTGAACAAATGCATAAAAAGTAGTTCGAACAATGCAAACGACATGCTGCGTGGTCCTTCAAGTTGAACTGATAGTGGAATTTCTCCGCGGATGGCAAGAAGGCCGGTGAGTTTTGGATCAAGGACAAGATCTGGCAGAATAACATGCAAAAACTGCTAGATGTTTATTGATCAGATTGATCATGCTGTGGGCCTAGTTTGAACACTAAACTACTAGCGATGGCCTCCAGCCTACTAGCGATGGCCTCCTACCTATAGTACAAAGATTGTTATTAGAAACGATAAGCTACTAGGAACAAGTGCATCGCTTCTAGTAACAAGTGCCTTACTAGTAGTAACAAGAAGCTATTAGAAACAATTCTAGATCTCGGATTCTGCGCCATCCAGGAGAAGACAAAAACAGTAGACGGAAATCATGATCCCTGGCCTCTGCGGTAGCGTTCACAATCGGTTCGCAGCATCGTTGCGTTTGTTGTCCGAAACCCTGCAAATGAGGCAAATTCAGTCCAATATGCAATGTAACTTTGCATTTTCAACGTTTCATCTTGTTTCACCACCTTGTTTCTGTGAATGGGACATGTCTGCCTGCAAATGCCGTCCCAAAATCCTGGTGTAGATACCTGGTGCTCGTGACTTCCAAGGCGAAATCTACAGCCATACCAGGCCACACAGTTCGTTGCTGAGCTGCGACTGCCCCTCTCTGGAGCGTGTGGATTTTTACCCACAGTGTCACTTGTTTCTACTAGCTTCTTGTTACTACTAGTAAGGCACTTGTTACTAGCAGCGAGGCACTTGTTTCTAGAAGTTTCTTTTCTAGATGTTGCCACTTCTCTGGGAGTCTCACCGTGAAGCGCCACGGCCGTCGCAGAGTAGGTGGTTGCAACTGTGAAACGACGCTGCAGCCGCCCGTTGATCATGAAGGAGCCAGCCTTGAAGCGGATGAAGAAACGGAAATTGAAGAGTAAACTTATCTCTCGAAACAAGTGCATCGCTAGTAGCAACAAGTGCCTTACTAGTAGTAACAAGTGCATCGCTACTAGGAACAAGTGCCTTAAACTTATCTCTCTTTAAAGGGGGGGTAGGCCGCTAGGAGGTAGGTGAGGTAGCTTCTGAGCGGTGCCACTAAAAGCTAGGTAGCTAGCTACTAGTAACTGCAGGCAGGATAGCTCACGCTTCTTCAAGAAAGCTTCCTTGAAGAAGCGCTCGCACTAATCATTTGGTTCCTAGATTTTTAGGGAAACTTAAACACATTGGGCCATAGGGTTTGTTTTTGAACGACAGATGTCCAGAGCCTAGAATCGTACAAAGCAGGGACATCGCCTTTTGCTCCGCAAAGTCAAAAGGCTTTGGTGTCGTGTGATGTCAAGTCAAAATTGTTGCACCATCGTCCAAAACATCACACGACGGGATATATCTATTGCATACTTTTTTT